TCCACGGTATACAAGAACTTGATTCTGGACTTGAGATACACCGACGTCTCAAACATGACTAAAATGCCGATTAATATATAACTCAATACCGAAACTAAATGACAATCAAATGACATAAACGTTAGCATCAATTGATGACTACTTTCAATGATAATAGCGGTCATGAATGGCAGACCTGTTCCACCCGTTGCCGTAGTCTTAGTGAAGTTGTGGTCAACTTTGGTGAAGACATCGATGTCGGCGATCGCACGCGGATTGGATACGAGTCGACGAAATAATGGCATATCTTATGGTGTAATGAATGGCAGATCTCTTTGCACTCAATTCACTGTAAATTACATTCAAATCTAATTGAGTTGTCGTTAAGACTGATGTCAACACAAACTCATCAAAAAGTGACTGATTTGTTGTCTAAACACAAAGTACGACAACTTTTGACCAACTCTTCAGTTCATTCATTCAGATAACCAAATGTTTTATAAAATAATACAATTTATTATTTAAATTATTTAAAAAATTGTTAATTAATTTAAATTACAATTAAAATTATTTCTTGTTTTTATGGACAACAGTCTTCGCCTCGTTCTTGGATTTCACTAATTTTACTAAATATTTATATCTTTCAATACAATCAGTTCGCGAACGGTTTGGTATACACTTTGAGATCAGATCCCATCGCTCAGTGCCCAGAGAGGACGGGTAAGTCTTCATCGCCTGTTCCAGCAGTTGTTGTTCTTCATTATTCCATGGATTGGCGTTGAGGTCAACGAAAGTACGCGGCGCTGGACATCAATCACAAAACAAATCATTAAAATCATTGTATGGCAACAATTGTTGCCAAAAACTTACCGTCAAATCGTTGACTCGGATCCGATTCATCGCTCGGTTGTGTGCCTTTTGGTTGATTTTTTTCCAATGTTTTGAACGCATTCTTATTCGCCTCTTCTCTAAGGGTTTGCGATTGATCTGAAAGTGAGACACAATTCGTTACATAACTTATTATCAATAAGTTTTTGATACGATTTGTTAAACGAGCGATAATTACCTGAATTTTGTAAATCCTTGGCTTTGCCGATAACGTCCCTATGATTTCTGGTCACACCGGATGTGCTCTTATCGTTAACCCATTTGGCAATCACTGCCCACCGGTCTTGAGTGCCCGCAGGGAATAGTTTAATGGCTTTAATGAGTAGTTGGATGTCATCGTAACTCCAGTGCTTCTTCGACGACACGTTATTCGTCTGACCGTTCATTGAGT